GGTTAACACTATTGTGGATAGACATATAATGTCATGTAAGAAACTAGCGAATACTATATTGTCAGACCTCGAGAATCCTCTCTGTGCACAGCTGTCTCCTTGCATTTCATCTGGTAGAACTAGAAGCAGCTATAGGAGGCTATATGCTAGGACTGCCTGATAGGATCCCACACATTTTGTTATTGACTGTTAATCTTGCATATATGGTATATTATCATTTCTCACGCACTTTGTTATTGACTATTACGATCAATTATTTCAAATGCTGTTAGCTGTCTATATTGTTGTAAAAATGTATAAATACCATGACTTTCTTTGTCGTTGTTGTTGTACTACAATACACAGTCACAGTCCAGTCTTTGTCTTTTGATATTTGTGTGCTTCACTGAATCGGAAGGTACCACAAGCAGATAGGCATATTAGTCAGGCGCAGACAGAACAAGGCGACAACGTCCTCATTTAATTCCCTACAGTTATAACACTACCAAATACCATTACTCCACAATACCATATCTGTCACAGCTGTTATGTGATGAGAAATCCGTTAGGAATGACACGATCAACTTACTGCGGCACTCAAACAGTTAGTCCCATTAGTTTTTGTTTTCCTATCTTCGTTACTATTATATTGTTGTTCACATCTTCTATTAAACACTAATATTATATTTCATATCCTGTGGTGCATTGTTTAAAATGTAAACGCAACGCTGTAGTTTTCTATTTCTTATTTTTGGTTGTTGCTTTTTGATTTTAAAATGTTATAAAAATTTATGAGATAATTAGGTGAAATGTGTTGTAATGCACGCTGAAAATTCCATACCTGCACCACAAATACTGTTTGGAATAAAGCTGTTATTATTATATAGTAACTCTAATGCATTTATCCTACTCATCTTATGCATTGATTAATACCAACATAAAACGATTATTTTCACGTATTGTTTTTGTAGGGAATTTTTTTGATTGGTTGGAGGTGAGGCAGTAACTCATCAAAAAAGAAGTGGTTGCGCTATGTAGCGAATTGGCAGAAGTTAGAATTTATGGACTGGTCATTGGGTTGGGTCCCAGTGGCTTAATCGTCTATGAGCTCGCTAACCTTGTAACCAGGAGATCCTGGTTTCAAACCCTGGCGGTTGATGAGTGTTTTTGAAGGGTCCCAAACCAAGACGAAACAACTGGCTGTCCAGTACTCCCAGGTTTCCCAATAGTTCTCTAACTGATGTCAGCTCATGATGAAATCCTTCAACCAATCAGATGTGATTATGACAACATATCACTTTTGTTGCTACCATATTTCATGGTTAAAAAATGTATAAAAATGCGATTGTACAGCTAAAGTTGGAAATGAATTCTTCCAAAAAACCTCTCCAATGAATTATGTGTTTTGTTTCCATGAGTGTCTAGATTCGGATGATTCGTATTGGTTGAGCATTTGAGGGAACCTATACTGAAGTCACCTATTGGTTTATTTCAATATAATTAACTTTTTCATATCAAAAAACTACCGTGCTTATGACATATCGATGATATCGTGAAATGATGATGAGGTTCTGGTGATACCGGCTTCGAGAAAGCCTACCAATAGAAACTGTATGTGGCGAAATGTTTGAAAAAAATCAGTTGGAGGGCAGTAGGATGAGTTTACTACGAGGATTACAAAGAATGATGAAACGACCCTTGGAGTATTTCCAAGTAATTTCACACAATAAGGAAATTAATATTAATGTTATTATTATTATGAAAGGCCGATGTGAGAACAAAGAGAAAACTTGATATCATTCAGTGTTTTCTATATAATCTGTGGAGTGAATCTTCGTCATTAGCGTAGATTAATGGCTGTTATTTTATACGTTCAACTTTTAAATTATTGATCGTGTAGAATGACTATAACTGCCTGGTTTGAACACAGAACTTCTCACAGAAGTGGATATCGTAGGTGACACATACAGTGAATGCATGTATGCCACTGAGAATGATTTCGAGTTATATCACGAATAGTTTCCAGCCACTAGTTCTTAGGGTTCCGAAAACTCTAACCATCAATTCAGTTTACACCTCCTTAGGTGGCCAGTTCAAACTAACTGTTAAAGATTTCATGAACGGATTGTCAGTTTTCCTTTGACTATCACTTTCTGTTTTCCAACCTTATGCTATGTAAGCTGACATTCACCGTCCAGGAGGGTGAAATACCCTACTGATATTACATCCCTGTACCCCAGCAATACGAATTTGTCCTCAGACCCTTCCCAGCATAGTGTAAATATCTTAATATATGTGTAAAACTTGCGCAATGTAGCAGTAAGTAATTCCATATTAGTTTGTTTATTAGATGTATCACACAGTGAAGAAACAGTATTTTTTACTGGATGACGTTTCGAACAAAATTTATTGTTCATGATCATATCAATTGTGATCACACGACTTTGAGATTTGAGTTTTATAGTTTTCATTGTCTTCTCCTATTTGTCGTATGGGTAGTAGAATTTTCCAGATATCTGGGTGGACAGGTATTGCATCATTCCTATCACATGTATTTGCGGTTGATTCGATAAACAAAGCTTCTGTTAACAATCTCTCCCGTCACCCTGTGATATTAGATTTTAAAACTCTCATCCTATCCCATTCATCCTATTGTATGGTTGTGTGTAACTGCATATAGTGCTATAGTTGAACTATTCTCTAGATTTCTTATCTTATTTGGGTCAACTATTCTAGATTTTGCTAGGTTTTTTATGTTCGGCTAGTCTGACTGCCCCTGTTCTACTACTTTGACCTATGTATTTGACTTGACAATCATCGCAGGCAGGGTATTAGATAAACTATATTGTTTTGTTTTGAAGGCTCCACAGGATTGATGTTTTAACCGACAAAGCTTGTTTCTAATAGAGTTTGTGGGTTTGAATGCCAGCCACTTTTATTCCTGCCTTGTTAAGAATTCTGTGTAACGTGGTTTCCGAGGTTCCTTCCTTGTATGGAAGTACCACTGATGATTTAGATTCCTTATTGTTGGTGTTGTCTTGCGCATATTTGACATGCATGTCGTTATTATTATTATTGCTATCACTACTATGATAATTTATTTTTATTTTTACATTTCCCTACATATTTTGTTCAAAACGTCATCCAGTAAATAATACTGTTTCACTTTGTGATACATCTAATAAACAAACTAATATGTTAACATCTTAGATTATGCCAGTAACTGATTTTAGTCTAATCGCTATCCTAACAACCTTTCTAGCATAGTAAGGCCTTCAGGAACACTAGCTTCGGTGAGTGTCTCTTGTTTAGTCATTTTGTTATGCTCGTCCGACGAGCACGTCAAGATAGCCGTTACTGGTCGAGAAAAGTGGTTATATATATATATATATATATATATATATATATATATATATATATATATATATATATATATTATGAAAATCAACACGTATTTATACATATTTCACATACATTATTATAGCTTATGCAAGTAGACAAGCGCAGTCATCTGATTGGTTGTTTATCAGAAGTTAGGCAGTCAAATGCAGGCTTCGGATTGGTTGTTTATGGATTCCTCGACAAATAGAGTTCTCTATCTGCGAATCATATTTTGCCACGTTAACTTTGCTGTGATTGGTTGTTAAATCAGCCTTGTACATATTTTCTCACGGCCTGCTCTCACCACACTATCACTTAGTTCGAAGGCAATCATCGCTTCCTTTCTATAACGTGTCTTTGTCTGTGTGCAGGGGAATTCACTATTGTTGTTTCGTGCAAATGATGTGTATGATTTAATAACTGAACAACAGTTAAATTAATTCAGTACAAAATATCGACAGCGTTGACCGAGACGGAATCTGGAAACTACTTCATCACCACGATCTTTATCAACATCATTCAACAACTACATGACAGTGGCACGTGTCAGGTAGTCCAGAATGGAAAATCCAGAGAGGCTTTCGAAGTGAATACAGGAGTAAGACAGAGCTGGATGCCTATTATCAGCTATGATACTCTTAATTGTAGTGGACTGGATTATGCTTCAAACTATGCTCGAGAGCGAGGAGTCAGGAATACCTTGGACCACCGATAAGAAGACTGTAGAAGATCTGGATTTCGCGCATGCATGATATAAACTCGAAAAATTACTGGCGAAAGCCAACAAACTGGCTGAAGAAGCAGGTGGCGAAAACAGGACTGCAGGTGAACATTTAGAAGACGGAGGTGATGAAGATAACCAACCTACCAACAGCAACAACAGCCATCACCAATCACCATCAACGGGAGAGACTTAACAGAGGTTACCTCCTTCACTTATCTGGCTAGGAAGTATCGTTTCAACTACAGGCACACGGAACGCAAGAAGATGTCAAAACCAGCCAGAATCGGAAAGGCAAGATACGCCTTCATCAATTTTAAACCAGGCTGGAAATCTTCTGCGCTCAGCATAAAGAAAGAAGATTCGGATATTCAACACCAATTTCAGGTCGGTGCTTCTATATGGGGTCAGAAACTTGGCTAGCGTGTCACGAAAAGGATTTCCAATAGGTTGAAGACCTTCATCAGCAGCTGCCTTTGCTGGCTATATACTGAATATCAAATGGTTAGAGAGAATCAGTATTAAGAAACTATAGGAACAAACCAACACATAAGCACCGATTGCTCAACAAATATATGTAAGATAAAACGGAGATTCAGGAGGGTGACATGGAGGTGGTCGTGTGAGGAAGAGATGAGAGAGTTTGGGCAATCGTTGATCCACCTGAAGAGGATGGTGGAAAATAGTAGAAAGTGGAGGTGTGTTGTTGAAGCCGTATGTTCCACCCTGAACCCAAGAGAACAATAATAATAATAATATTAATGAAGTAATAGTAACCGTACATTTGAGGTGTATGTTTTAGGTAACTGTGATTCAACTTGTTATGAGGTACTGAATGAAGTAAATAAAGTAAACTGATCTATTTATGTTTATTATTATTAGTATTATTATATTTTTATTGAATAATTTATTTATCTTCTCACTCGCCACTAGCACATAAATAATTTACGCATCGTTTTGAACAGCATTCATGATTATCAACACATAATTGATCAGCCTGAATACATCTTACACAGATTCCTGTCCATTCATCCTTTAACTGACATTTTAATGGCCAACAACATGGTTTTTTATCCTTATAAAATCGTGAACACATCTCATTCGCACTCTGACAATTGCCATCTAGAAGTGGTGGAAAAAAAATATGAATTAATGAATTGTGGCAGATGCTACTGATAAGATTTATCAGTAGTATAAATATATATAAAGAGATGTTCATCGGCATAAAAAAAAGCATCAAATAGCAGGGAGATATATTTGATTTCAGAGAAGGCAGATGATACAGTGTAGTAGAGATACATGGGAGACGTGAAAAGAATACTAAGAAACATGGTATGAAGGAAGGCCAGAAGTAAACAACACGGAAGATCTGTGCAAATGGTGTGTGCGTTGAAGATAAGGTATGCATAATTTCGTCTCCTGCCGAATAAGAGATACATTCTGAAATGTGAGTATATACATGTATATCATCAGTGTGTTGTCAATTATTCAGACTGTATAGTTGTTTCTGATATCAGTGAAATATTCAAGCTAGTCAGCTTTTCTGGTTACTTACGATCACTGATTAATGGAGTACGTGACTCCACCACGTTTTGTCTTGACCCAGTGATTCTGAACTTGATTTTTAACTGTCAAACTCTCACATACCTAATATTGAATCATATTTTGTAAGTGAGTGATGACGTATTCAATTTCTTTACTTTTTTCGTTGGTACTGAATATCTGTCCCATGAAATTTAAAAGACTGATTCAGGAACAATGAATATTCATATTTTCGAGAACCTCTTCCTCATCAGTTTTTACATTGGTATGTCCATAATGAAGAAATATCATACATTTGGTTGCCTGATAAATTTCGATAGAGAAAGAAAGACTAGATTCGCGGTATAAACTGATGTCATTCTATTTCACAGGTTCTCATCAGCTGCAACCACTTGAAATTACAATGGTCATAAATAATAACATTTCATACTTCAATATTTGTAAGGTAATAGAGAACGTGTTAATTTTATAATGTTTTCTCTGTTAAATTTCAAACATTGTGATTTCAGGTAGTTTGTAGCTGATGAGGACCTGTGAAATAGAATGATGACATCATTTTATGCTGGAAATTCGGTCTTTCTTTATCTATTGAAATTAAAGAAATACTTTTGAATGACAACATTTATTACATTGAATCAATATTAATGTCTATAGTTTACATTTCAAAGTCACCAGTAAGAGATAATATGATTTCGAAATTGAGAGACGAAGCACCTACCTGTCCTGGCCACTTCTAATTGTATCTCTCGATTCAATGGCTCCTGTGGAGTCAGGTATATTGGCCGTTTGTTTCTCTTGGAACCTGATTATTCATGATCGGAAATACCTACCAGTGTGGTTAAATAAAAGTGTTGTTAACAGTGCCAAGGGTTCTGTATTGGGCCACTTCGACCAAACAGTCCACATAGCTGCCTAGCGTCGAAGAGTCTTTCCCTGTCATCATCCATCGGGTGTGGAATGAATTACCAAAGGATTCTAGATACAGAACACTCCAAACAGCAGAGGTCATTCCAATTTGTCTAAGGTCACCAGACCTCTGGGTGCATAGGAAGCCACGTTGGCTACGCTATCGTGCTAGGAACTCACTCAATAACAGGTCCCGTAGGCTAGCAGACCCAATTAAACGAAATTTTTTATTTTATTATTTTTTTGATTACAGCTTGATGCCACACCGTATTTTTGGTACAAGTATGGAATTTTCAGCATGGATATCGGTAGCCCAAATTTTGCAGGCCGACCCCTGATATCAGGTGTGTGTCGGCAGGGGATCGAACCTCGGACCATGTGAATGGTCGGCGAGAGTCCTAACCATTGTGCAACTGACGCACAAGTAGCTAATTCTACAAAATTCCTTTTATCACCTGTGAGTTAAACTACATCAGTTAGACTAGTGGATGGGAACATGAGAATTTAACTAATTGTAGAATGAGTGACGCTGAGAAGGTACTTAGCTTAGAGAATAAATAACTCAGCAGTTGCAATGCAGTCACTAACATACAATCACTCACTCAATAGGTTGGAACAGAACTACAAGTCTACAATTATTATACCCAGGTGGATAGGGAGGTTAATTACTGAATCTTTGTACATCAATTCTCCATCAAACACGTACAATGGAAATGACGCAACACAACTTCCAGAGATATATGTAATATAATTACTAACAAAATAAGGGATAAGACATTAGGAATTGATGTAAATACAGTTTGAAAATTAACAGGAGGTCTCTGATATGATTATGAGCAGTAAACTGTATGTGATAATGTATGACTCAGTCTGTTTTTTATCAAGGCGAATACATCATGAGGTGAAATTATACTCGACCATACTGTTCAAGTGGTATTCTTATACGTCTTGTTCGTCTTTTCAATGCCAATCGTGGGAATTTTGTTCATTATAAAAGAAAAAGCGTTCAGAAAAGAGTTACTGTTTTCTCCAACATCATTCTCAAGCTTTACAATCGCATATATACGTTTGTCGTAAATTGCCTTAGTAACAAAAGCAATAATTCCAAGGATTTGTCATTAGAATTATAAATTTCTTTAGATTAAAGATTCCGTTGAATGGTTAGTAGAATCTAAAATAAGATTTAAATAGGCAAGCTGAGTGATGTAATTTAAAATTTACGAGGTTGAGTAGAGCCATTGGATCTCCACCGCCTCATCCGAACTGATTGACGCAAGAAGACTGATTCCAGCGAGCTGACTCACCATTGAACTGTAGATTCAGATAGAGAGTTTTTTAGAATCAGAGAGTGTAAGCAGTTTTGGTGGTTTAAGTTTAATTGATTTAGTGGTGAAAAGTTCTGGGTAGCCATATTCGAGGAGTTTTCTCTTCAGAGTGTTTTGCTTCTCTTCCATAGTATCAGTGCTGGAAGTGCTGCAGATTTGACTTTGGTTAAATTTCATTTTTAGTTGAGCTCTACTCAACTCCTTCGCTCAATTTGCTTATTCAATCTTATTTTAGTTTCTGATCCATTGACAGAATTTGCTATCAAAAGAGATTTACAACTCAAAATAACACATCCTTGGAAATATTTCCTTGTACAGCTTGAGAATGATATCGCCAGAAGGAGTAACTCTTTTCTGAGCGTCCTTTCTTTTAAATGGCTCAATGCGAATTTTGTTCACAATTTCACACACTATGTGTAATATATACAGAAACTACATATTATGCAAGGTGTTTCATACTACTTATTATTAATAAGTAGGATGGCTGTTTATACCGAAAAGTTTAGATGGTTTTATATGATCAGTTAACTTTGGTAGGAATTATAAATGAGGTAAATCCGGAATGATGTAAGTTGCCCACCTAAGAGTTAGGAGTTCAAGGGATTGACTATTTATAAGACGAATACTTTTGAAAAAACTCGAAGTTCGAGGAGCATTTTGGGTAGAAAGAAAGTTAAACTATAAAGAGTATAACAAAATGAATAGGTTACGCTACTAATGAAACATGTTTTTGTAAAATAGGAAAACGGAGTAAATGTGAGTAGTGTTCACCTGACACAGTAAATTTTCTCAGTATGACAGAAGACATCGGGGAATACATGATGCTTTGTTAAGTAACTTTCACCCCCTGTGGTGGTGCAACACTCACCACCTCAGTCTCTTTTTGAGATTTGAGTATCTTGAAAATCCCCATTTAGTCATATGAAAAAGAGAAGACGTTCAGCGAAGAGACTCTTTTCGGCGAATTCATTCACATAGCTGTACAATCGCATTTATATATAATTATTTGAGTGTGTGTGTGTACATGAGGTTTGTCAAAATTAGATAATTGATCAGGTAATAAAAGAATGATCTAATATAGAAACAAAGTTAATTGGACAGCAACTAAATTAAGATTGAGTTAGTAAGTTAGATGACGTAATACAATTGACTAAAATGTTTTAACTTAGGTCAGGTTAGCAACAGAGGTAATTACAGGTAGAGACTAAGTAGAAGTGGGGTAGATAATAATGCCATTTAGATTAGAAATGAAATTGAGCAATTAAGTTGGATGACGTAACATAAATGACTATAAATTGAGCGTTGGTCAGGTCAATTAAAGTGGTAGTGAGGTGTAGAAATTAAATCGGGTAGGGGTAGAGACAAGAAAGTTGAAAATGCAAAATATTACAATTGAGAAGACAGAATAATACCAATGAAGAGACAGAAAAAAAAATTAGGTAGAATTTACCTTTCAGGTAATAATGTAGGTTAAGTCCATTGTAAGTTTAGTGATTGAACGAACCTCTTCTGTATGCAGAGTTCAGGGCTTAGCAAGTGAATCGCCATTGCTTCTGCAGTTTGAAGAAGTCTGATTCGTACACCTTTTGGAAGACTACTTCTTACTCTGTAGACGACTTTGAAGTTTGTTTGGGGTGCAGCTTGGTGTCCGGATTCTATCAGGTGTTCTAAGATGGAGCTGCGGGGACATCGCTTTTCTCCTTTGTAAAACCATGCTGGTAAGTGTTCGGTGATACGCTTGGAAAGCGAACGCTGGGTACGGCCGACATACCTGGCTCCACACGAGCAGGTGAATTGGTAGATACACATTGATGAGGCCAACAGTGGTAGCTTATCCTTCACGTTCACATGAATCATAGGTTTTGTGGAGAAAGTTAGTCGTAGTTCAGCTGCGAAGAAAGTCTTCTTGAGTGAGCGCGACAGTCGATTTTTTAGTATTTCCGCAGATATATCTCCATTGAATTGAAGGTTTATGTAGAGCGATTTCTTCGGGACGCTATGCGTGGGCGGCTTTTGTGGCCTAGGATTCACCCCGCAATTCAGTTCACGCTGGAGAAAGAGTCCAACTCTAAAATATCCTTTCTTGACATCCAACTAACAAGACGAGAACACGATGGAACACTGAAAAGATCTATCTACAGAAAGTCAACATGGAACGGACAGCTGATTAACTTCCACAGTTGGGTACCCCTATACACCAAACGGAACCTGATCCGTTCACTTAGCAACAGAGTTCGCAGAATTTGTACCCCGGACACCGTAGAAGATGAACTGGACAATCTCAAGAGAATCCTCGTCGAGAATTGTTACCCAGAACGATTTATTGCAAAATCTATGAATCCTAGGCCA